CTCAGCATAATGTTTTCCAGGTTCATCCATATTGTGACATGCATAGAACTTCATTTCTCTTTACGGCTGAGTAATATTCCATTGTATGGATATACCACATTTTGTTTACCTATTCATCTGTTGATGGACATTTCGGTTGTTTCCACCTTTTGACGATCGTGAAAAGTGAAGTGAACATTGGTATACAAGTTTCTGTTTGCGTTCCTGCCTTTACTTCTTCTGGGTGTAGACCTAGGATTGGGACTGCTGGGTCATATGGTTGTTCTATGTTCAACTTTTTGAGGAACCACCAACTGTTTTCACACAGTGGCTGTACTCAAAGTTATTTATAATATTAAATAAATGGAAACAATCTAAATGTACTTCAGTTGAGAGTAAATTAGTTATATGTACTTAATTACCATTCATTCATTAAATTTTTTAATATATACACCCAATGTATTGAGACTGAAATATTGCAAAATAACAGTCTCGGCTTAAATTGCAACTTGCATAACAGCATGCACGATTAAGATACCCCTTTCCAGGAGACCTTCTTCCTGAACTTTTCTGTTTCTTAGGAACTTGAAAGTGGAGTTAATGAGTGGCATACCACTGGGAACACCACAGCCCCTAAGAGGTAGGAAGCAGGGTTCTAAGTGAGATGTTGATACCAGGAGAGAGAAGTGTGTTAGCATCTAAGGGATTCCTCCTTCCCCAGGTGTCTCCATGATCTCCCAGTGCAGGAAGGATGAGGACAGATCAAGGTGTTTTTCTAGGGCATCAACATGTTGTGCTCTTTATTTGAAGCTGTAATGCTTCAAGAAAGCAACTACTACCTTACGCAACCCTACTTAAGAGCAATTAGAAACCCCTGAGGTGCAGCTCCCCACTTGATTGAGATAATCTGAAGTGATCAGAGAAATTATACTGAATCTGTACTGGACTTGCTTCTTTGGATGCCAGAGGGGACATGTGAATCCGGATTATCTGGTAAGAGGACATGACCTAAAAGGTGGCAACTACTTTAGATGACCTTATTCTCATCCTATCAGCTACTACTTACTTCTAGTCTTTTCTACATGTTCCCATAATTTGACTTCTAAGTAGCTTACCTGGTGGCACACTAGTTAAGAGCTACAGCTGCTAACTAAAAGGTTGGCAGTTGGAATCTACCAGCTGCTCCCTGGAAACCCTATGGGGCAGTTCTAC